CGTTTAACATTTGATGAATTTATTTCTGCTTATATTTTATTACAAGATTCAATAAATCCACGAACACGTTTAAATTTTTTACTTAATCATTATTCACCAAATAATGGTTATATAACACCAACTATGGGACGACGTGTTATACAAGATATGACAAATTTATATGGTATTAATGCTGATTATCAACAAGTATGGAGAAATCTAGAAACTAATTGTGCTCTACAAAATGGATTTGTACCACAAGAAGCATTTACAAACTATTTTATAAATCATCCAGCTTATTCAGCTGCTTTTTATAATGGTGTACAAGTACCTATACCACCTCCATCTCCACAATTATAAACATTTCTTTCTACTACTAACCTGTTTGTGATGAATGTTTTTTTATATCAGCTTTGTAGGTAAAATCTGCTGCAGACTAAAATTGAATTTGTTTGTTGTTAATAGATAAAATAAATTGAAAATGATAAATGACCTTATCCATGACTTGTTCTGTACCATATTTTCCTCCATAACCACGATTAGGATTTTTTTCTTGATATGTTTCTTTAGTAGTATCATCAGCTGTTTTAATTTTATCTCGAATAGAATTAAAATCAACATGATCTACTCGACCAGAACCAGGTACACTTGCTGAACCATAGCGTTGTGATTTTTCAGTTGCTGAATTCTATTGATACAAAACCAAGACTATTGCTATGTTCGAAAAATATATCGGTGCAGCTGATTTAGCTGCTGATTCGTTTACTAATTATCGTCATGACATTTATAATAAATCAATATAAAATTTAATACTACTTTAACTTTTTTTTTCATAGAAGATTGCGCCACATGTTTTATCCAATCTCAACTTTCAAATATCACTAAAAGTTGTTTGGTTGGATAAAACGGAGGCTACAAAGTTGTGATATATAACATAAAAGAAAAGAAGAATAATCTTTTGTTTTTGAACAGACTATGTATTCTAATCGATTAATAAAAAGCAATACAAGTCTTGGTGGTAGAACATCACCAAATTTTCAAATATCAAAATCTGATTTTTTAACAAATCGTTCCTCATCACTACCATTATCAATATCAAATAGCCGTTCATCATTGTCTCGACAACAAGATCGTGGAAAAACAATATCCTGTGAAAAGTTTTAGTAATGATGACATTAAATTTCATAAAGTAGTTTTTGAACGTTGTACTGATTGATCTGGACGAGTCTTAATAACAAAATATGAGAAATTCGTTGAAGGTAAATTTATTTAGATCTCATTTTTTTAAAATGAAAATCTTTCTATTTTAGCTCTTAATTGTGTTAGATATGATTAACAAAATACAAAAATTGATTAATTATGATCTAATAAGAATCGTGAGTGTTTGTTATGTTTTATTTTTATATTGATTTATAAAATTAAGTTTTTTTTAGAGATATATTTGAATATGTATTTGATCTATTGAGCGTTTATGATAAAATCATTTCATTTTTTTCACATGTTTCTCTGCAGATAATAACCAACTTGACCCATATGAATATAATTTAAAGACACCAAGAACAGCAGAAGACGAAACAATCGATGTTTGATTATCTGTTCAAATAAAAGATTTAAATAATGTCGCGTGAAACTTCTCTATTAATACATGCAAATTATCCGTATTCGAGGTGATCGCACTGAGGTATGAATATTCAAATCATTTTTTATTTTTGTGCTTATTTAGTTTTCATGTAAGTTAGAAAGTCAATGGAATTATTCAAGTTCAGTGAGCTTTTTTTGCTATTTTAGTAATCATTAACAGTTGTATCATACTAAATAAATTTGTTTATGTTTTATAGATTGTAATATGTGAGTCAACGATTTATAAAATCACAATATGTATTATCTATATCTATCAAGTTAATTCTTAAAAAAAAACGAATAGAATTCTTGATTTCCGATTTAGATGAAGTAATTTGAAAAATTCATGTTGACAGTCTTGTTCAAAATATATTATCTCGACCTAATTAAGAAGGACTCAAAATGATAAAAAAATAAAAGAAAGCTAGTGTTTTTTTGCATGCACTTTTGAATATTTCTTGAGAAATATCATCTAAATATTTGTTTAATATGTTCATAGTATTTAGAACGATATATTCAAATATTAGTATATACTCAAAGGGATCATCTATTTCGATTTTTACTATTTAGTGTTTAATATGTATTGTCACATTACCAACTGATTTCGGAAGAAGCTTTATCTCGTTACATGATTTGTTCAATGCAGTTTACAGGTTCACTTGTTTTTTTTTCTTCATAAGGAAAAAATATTAATTGTTTTGATAGATTTGTTGGTTAGTTGATGACATAAATAATTTTCTTAAAAAATTACTGTATTCTTTCAGATAGTGTCATTATGCATAGCGTTAAATTTGTAACGATTTTCTTCAGTCAACTGTTGTTATGTATTGTGAGTATGAATAATTTTCCGATGTTATATTATTGAAATTAAAACTTTACTTAGATCTTTGTAAGATCAGAATCATTATCTTCAATTCAATGTCTTGATCGTGGATTTGCACCAGATAATTTACTCTGTTCAAATTGTCATGATTTAAAACAATTTAAATTGAATGAATTAGAAAATATATGTCAACAATGTTGTACTCATAATGATAATGAAGAAGACAAGACAATAGTAAGAATTACGAAGAAGAGTTTTAATAAAACCTTGACTTATTTTTAAAAATCTTATTTAGAAATATCATCGAGCTATTCTTACCTTATGTAAATGTAAATTTGGACGATATCCACAAATCGAAGCTTTTATTAACAGTAAACGTTTACAACGATTTCCAACATTTAGTTTTAAACATGTTGTTGGTGCTGAACCTGTTCTTCATTTATATAATGATAAGGATGAAGAAATACAATCATTAGGTATTGAAAAGTGGGATACCGATACATTAACAGCATTTCTTGAAGAAAATTTACATGTTTAATTCATTTTTTCTCTTGTTCTCACTGATTAATTTTTTATGTCTTGTTCAAAAATAAAATATATTCAAATCTGTTTAATTTAAAGAAATAAGGTTAAGAGAATAATCTTTTGTTTATTTCTCAGATATTATTAAAATGGTGGATACGACGAAAAATATTGATTGTAGGTAGAAAAAAAAACGAAAATAATTTAAATTTTGTTTCAATTATATAAATATAATTTTAGTTGATAATAATGATCAAATTCGTCTTTTAACAAATTTACGTGATGATATAAGAATTTTACTTCATTCACATCCAAAAGGTATTTGGTTTCGTATGTTACCAAAAGTATATTGTATGCATTTTAATCGTGATATACATTTGGATTTATTTGGTATAACAAATCCATTTTTATTTCTTGACTATATATCAGATATAATTAAGTTTGATTTACCTGATAATTTAAATGAAGAAGATTTTATTATTGAATTAAATAATGATCAAAAACAAATGTTACAAACATCAATGCAATATATGGGTTTAAAATTGAGACGGTAAAAAACAAAAAATTATTAGAAGAAGAGAAAAATAATAAATATTGATTTGAGAACATAGATTTTGTCTAGTAAAAATTAAGATTTTATCAGTAGAAGAAATAAGTTTTATTCGTATAAGGATTAATTTAGTAACGGGTGGTCCATAACTATTGACAGGATTTGTATTTCATGTTTTTCTTTGTCAGCTTTCATTGTAGTAATTTGTATCTGATTTCAAAAATTCTCCATTCAACTCTCTACAAAATTACATTAAAACGGTTAACCTAAACATCTAATTTTAAAAAGTCGACGAATAATATTATATCTGAGAAAATTTTGAAGTACAACGAACAGAGCTTTTTCTCATGATGTACAGTGATCGTCATTTCAATCAAGAATTATAATACAGAGATTAACTTCTTCAAACTAAGTCTACAGCAGCTAAAAATAGAATTATTTTACTGATTTCATCAGAATATGACGTTGTATTCTTATAGTGAGTATTCGGTGGAATGTAACATTCATTTCTATTCAGACCATAAAAATATAAATTCAAAGGATTAAATTTGAGTGAACTTTTACCAAAGTTTCTGAATGTTTCAAAACTGCTCATTCAAAACTATGATTTTTGTAAACACTGGAAAGCACCATTCTTTTTCTGAGAAACCGGCGTTGATGTGAAAATTGTCTGAAAATAGCTGAACGATGGAACTTCCTGTGGTCTAAAACAAGCCTAACAAGCTTAAAAGGTTTGTGTAATTGATTATAAATCAGAAGGTGGTATTTAGCATGTTTCTGAAAAGATTCCTTGACAATACAAATTATAACTTTCAAAGATTTAGTAATGAATACAATAAAGTTCATAATTGTAAAGATATTGGTAGTTCTGTAGCTAATATTTTTGTATTAGTTGACGTAGAAGCTTGTTTAATTAATTAATTATTTGACAATAATTGATGCTATTGTATAAAGCATGGTGTAGTTTAAGTGTCCTATCATCTGTGATTATTCTATTGATTGCCTTTAAGGTGTTATTTGTACTTGGTGCATATAGTTGTATACTTTCATACCAGTCATCATTTGATTTGAGTCATTCATTATCATGATAGCCTAGAAAAAAGTCTAATATTGATTGGTTTTTTTTGTTTGTTATTCATGTTTCATTTCTTTATTAATAATGTTGATGCTAATTTGAATACAGCTATCTTCCATTATTTCTTTTGTAATATGTCTATTATCTATTTGAATCACAGTATAATGCACTTCAACTTTTATACTTACTATTTAATTTAATTTATTGATCGTTCATTTATTTTACTGTCTATTTAAATCATCTCCATATTGATTTGTATGATTTTTTTTTAGAGATTTTTTATTTAAAATGTTGTTACAAAATGCCAGTTTTGAAAAACGTGGTTCATTATTACGTGAAATTTGTATTATTGATGAACATCTAAAATGTATCAATCATGAGACAGAAGCGTCTCCTTCACCAAAAAGTTGATAAAACATTTTTTTTTCCTGTTTTTGATATTCTATTCTTCTTTTATTTATAGTACCAATTCATGAAAAAGTAGCTTTACGTCTTCAAAAGATACGTTCAATGATTGATTTTAGTCTTAATTATCTTCTTAAAACACCCAGTGAAATATCTGATAATGAATTAATTGAACTCTATGATAATTCAGATGAATTTATTCGTAATTTAATACCATTAGCTCAACGTTTATCTGCATCAACAAAATAAACGACATTTCTTCTTCTTCTAATTATTATTATCTTGAAAATAGTCAGATAAAACATTGTCTTTCGTGATTTCATGGTTTTCTTTTTGTTACGAATCTCGAACAGATATTAAAATAGGCACTTTTTTTTCTTTATTTTAAAATTTAACATTGTGAAAAAAAGAAATAGAGCTTGTCACTTTTGTCTTCAGATATTAAAATGTCAATGGATAAACATCAATGGCAAAGAATAAAATGTGAAGAACAAATAAAATATCTTATTAATTTACGACAACGTTTTCGACAAGTATAAAAAACTATTTTGATCGATCAACTGTTTATTTTTTTCTTAAAACTTGTTTAGTATTTAAAACAAAATTTTAATATTGTATGGTATTCTGATGCACAAGTGAGAATTTAAAAACACAAAAAAATTCGAGATTTTTGAAGTTCTAGTGAAAAGAAAATACTTTTATCTTTAGTAGAATTATTTTCAAGACGATTTAGAATTACTTGATGTATCACTTATTGAATGTTTTTGTGATCTTGTTAATATTCATCATTCATTCTCAAATGAAATAGGTGATCAATTTAAACTTGAATTGAAATGTGAAAAATCATCAAATACTAATGATGTATGTATTAAGTTTGTTTATTTATCGATTTTATCTTTATATATATGTATATATAAAGAAACTTGATGAATCAATGAAAAGAATCTATTTTAACCGTCGACACCGAGCTTTGATTAATAGTCGGTTTGTATTCAAATAATTTTGCTCGTGTGTTTCTTATTTTCAAATTATTTGTGTTTTAGTGAAATTTTACTTGATGATTTAATCATATCGATAAATGAAAATATTCAAAATCGAATGCTTAAAATACGTGCTATATGTGTACTTGATGAAGAATTAATTTTTATTCAACACGAATTAACATCAAAATCCATTGGAGAACAAGTAGCTATTCGCTTACATCAAATTCGTGCAATGATTAATGTCTTTTTTAAACAAACATCTCAATCATCATTTGAAGATAGTCGAGCTATGATTCCACTTGTTCATTCTTGTGATTCATTTCTTTCAACATTTCGTCTATTTTTAAATAGTACAAATTCTGACATAAGTTTAAATTCTTCATTAGATACTCAAAATGAATAAAAAGAAAAGAAAAAGAAAAAAAAACTTGATCTAAAACCAATACTAAAACCAATATATTGGTAATATTCGTTTTTTGACAAAAACCAGATATTAACAATTTTATATACAAATAATTGATTAGATATTATTATTATTTTTCGTAGTAAGATTTTTCTTTGCTTGAAACCGATAAGTTTTATGTACGTATGTTGGTGTATGCCGTCGATGACATTGACAACGAAGTAAACGAGCGAATGTTCGTCGGAACGTTCCATTACATAAGGCATAAAGCATTGGGCTAAAAAAAATAATAAATAAAAATTTTATTTAAAAACCAACAAATATTCTTTCAAAATACATACTTAATCGTTGAGTTAATATAACATAACATATAACCAAAACGTTCCCAATACATTGGAAATCCACGTTCAAATATATCTGGTTTTATAGTTGATATAACTATATTTGTATTATAAGGAAGCCATGTGACAATGAAAGCAATTAAAATAGCACTAGAAGAAAAAATAATAATAAAATAAATTTCCAAGATTAAGCGAAGAAATAATTTTGTTTACCTTAAAGTTTTAGCAGCTTTTTGATCTTTCAATTTTTCTAAACGACTTTTTACAGTTTTAACACTTCCATGTACATTTGTAGAAACAGGTGTTGTTAGTTTTTGTGTTAATGCTTTCGATGGTGATGGAATTGTTTCATTTCTTTGTTGTATATTTATTGTACTTGGACATGTTGGCTGGACAATATGTGTCTGTTGTTGTTGTTGCTGTTGATCGTTTGATGAAGATAATAACGGATCCATACAATTATGTTTAGGAATTTGTCGCCGACTGATGTTATGTGTATAAGTAGTTGAATGTAGTAGTGGAAGCGAAACTGTTGTTTGACCACGTAATCGTGATTCAACATATTCAATATCTTTATCAATATTATTAAGTAGTGGTTGATGTTGTTGTTGTTGTTGTTGAGAGAGATGATCATCAGATGGTGATGATAACGAATGACAATAAAGACGAGTTTCATATTGAATAGATTTTTGTCGTTGTTGATTATAAGTATCATTTATTAATGATGGTTGATCAGAGCGACGAATCCATGGATCAGCATATAAAGTAGATTTGATTTTTTCTGATTTACTACGACTTGTACCTGGGCGACCATTAGCAAGATAGATTTTTCCATTATTTGTTAATGATTGAGAATTAGTTTTATTTCGATCATTAGTAGAACTTATTACAGGATTAAGTTCACTCGAAAATTCATCATCATCAAGTCCATTTGGATTTGCGTTTGATGTTCTTTGATCACAACTCCTTAAATAATAATAGATATCTAATCATAGATTGTTAAATTAATGTAATAGTTAACTAAAATATTCTGTTTTCTTTTATTGTGTTTAATTTAAAAAAAAACTTTAATAGTATTAAGAGTTGACATGAATTTGTAGTTCTATTTTATTATTTCGTGACTTGGTCAATTATGAAAAAGTAGTTTAATCATTTCTTTCTAAAATAACATTACGAAGTAAATGCTAGAACATAAAGACTGAGTATGTTTGCCTGTACAATAAACTGCTTATCTATATGCAACTAATAACAGCAGCGACTTTACTCTTTTCCACATCAATATATTCAAAATTCTATTTTAATGGTTTCTTTCCGAAGTAATGTTTAAAATAATTTTGATTTATTGTAGTCTTGCAATATTTCATTCTCTTAAATATATATATCTGTCAAATGAACCATATAAAATAAATTTTGATTTTCTCAAGCTATATACTTTTGCTAAGATGTTTCTTTATTAATCAAAACTAATAGTCATGTTACATGCACTAGATTTTGAAATTTATTTGATGCTAAAATTTTAATTTTCTAAATATTGTTGTTACAAAAGTACACTTAATGTCAAAGTTACAATAGATTTTAAATAAATTTTCGAATAATTAGAAAAAGAAAAATTTATATTTGTTCAATCATTTCTTCACTAAGAGTATATTTTACTTTTTTGCACTATCTGGTCAACCGTCAATTAAAAATCTGATGTGACGTAACCGATTAAGATGGTTTGGCCATGCAAATCGTATGGAAAATTAAAATGGGCCACATTTGGTAAAGAAAACAATGTTTTCGTATTTGTCAGGAAACAAACGTCCTGCAAATATTGAAATAAGAAAAAGATGGGAAAGCAAGATCATGGATGACATCGAGAGATTCAGCGTCAAAAATTGGAGAAAAGACACTCAAAATAGAGACAGTTGGCGTGAAATAATTAACACACATGTTAAAATTAATCCTGTTCCTTCAAATATTAAATAAATTATACAAGAGTTCAAAGATCGTGCAGATAAAATAAAATTAGAAGAATTAGCCATGTCATATGAAACATTTCAGCGAAAGGTGACTGAAGTGTTGGTAAAAGACTCTCATACCATGTATGAATGTCCCAACTGCAAAAAGAAGTTCAAACTACAAGGAATAACAGGTCAAGTAAGAGCGTGTGCAGCTCAATGGTGTAAGAAGAACCACATCAAAATATTGAAGAAGTATAATGAAAGCAAATCCTGATTTTCTTTTTTGGTGTGATGACGATCACAATCTAAACCCGTCTTGTTTCGGAGGATCGTGATTTGATTGAAAACCTTGAAAGGACGGCAAGATGCGATCTGATAAACCAGACATCAAAAGAACACTAACGTTATTTATTTTATTTTATTGTTATTTTATTTTTGTTTGTCTTCGTATTTGCTTCTTTGTCTCACCCTACACCGAAAGGTATTTGGGTATTCTTTCTTGCTACTTTTCTGCAAAACGTCTTTACATTTCTGTCATTTGTCTAAACTGTTAGAAATAAGAAAGAGTTGTTCGATTAGGCTTTTTTTTTTCTTCAGAACTAATAATTACATATAGAAATAACAAAAATCTATGGCGAAATATACGAAAAGCAAAATAGTTCTCCTAATGATATTTATGATTTTTTTTTCACTAAATAAATCATGTTAAATATTTCATAAGATACGAAAAAACTATTATTCATCATAGCAAATGATAGATCAAGAAGAAAACAGACTTCTAAACATGCATACAGATTTAGTATTATTGTTTAACGAAAACAAAAAGAAAAGAAAGTCGATTTGCAAATTATTGTTTAAGTAATGCGTCTAATGCGACATTACTAATAAAACAAAAAAGCCATTTCTAAAAATACGTCAAGCATTTGTTACCATTTTGGCATTATGGATTTTTTTGTAATAATAACAATTAGGAAATTGTAATCTCAACATAAAGTACATTATGACATCTAGTACATCGACAATAAATGTCAACTTCTAACGGTATTAAAAATATATAAGAAAAGCATATTACTCATGAGAATCAAACCTTATCATAAATATGTAGAAAACTAATTGAAGAACTCATTTACCTTGTATTACAACAACAACAATTAAAAGTTTGATTAAATTTATTTTTTTGTATTTTATTTGATAATACAAATTTATTCTTCGAAGAATTTTGTATCGATAAAATTTTTCCATGTGAACGATTAGAATCTGTTGAAACACTTTCATCACAATCATTAATTAATGTTGTACCTATTGTACTTAAATTTTTTGTTAAACGATCATTTGAAGTAATATTGGTTGTTGTTGTTTGAGAATTAGGTATATGATTTTGAGCTTGTAAAAGATGTAATTCTTTTCGACGTTTAACTGTTTCACGATAAATACGAAAATAAAGTAAACACATTAATGTTACTGGCAAATAAAAAGCAGCTATGGCTGTTGGTATTGCCACTAATATTCAAGAAAAATTAGGCAACATTTTATTCTTTTTTTTTTATTCTACTACCTGTTGCTTTTGAAGCAAATGGTAATCGACATTCATCTGGTGGTAATCTCTTATCAATATAGGGCCAAATCCAAATCCACTAGACAAGAAAAAAAATATTGTTTTTCTCTTTGTCAAATCATATTTAAACTTCAATCTCTTACCGGTGTCCATATAAGACATGAAATAATCCAAGCAAAAGCAATCATAATAAATGCACGTTTTGGTGTACGTTTCGATCGATATGTTAATGGTCGAGTTATAGAAAAATATCGATCAAAACAAATCAGTAAAAGATTAGCAACAGATGCATTTGACATTGTATAATCAACACTAAGCCATACATCACATAGAAATGAACCAAATGGCCAACGATCTTGTTCAAAAAATGTAAAAAAAATTGGCATAGAAAAAAATCCAATTGTAAAATCAGCTATAGCAAGTGATAATAAAAAATAATTTGTTACTGTACGTAATTGTTTATTAACTCGAAATGAAATTAATACAAGTAAATTACCACCAGTTGTTAAAAAAGATAATATTGTACCACCAACTATAATAAGAATTGTTTTATATAATGCACCTGTGGAAGTTGTTCTTGTTATTGTAGTTGTACAATTATTAATTAAAATACACAAACTATTTTCAGACATGCTACAAAAAAAACAATCATGAAAATTAATATATATATATAGATATGTACAAATAGATGAGTTCTTGTCTTCTTTTTTGCATTTGAGTACATCTTTCTCGAAAAGTCATATTTTCTTAATAGAAAATTTGCTAGTCGACTTTATAAGTCTATTGAGATTGAATTACTTTTGGGATTAATCCGTACTATTTAGATATTTCCTTCGTTTTTTTCTGTAGTCTATGTATTGTATGAATAATTGCTTAATTTTTGAAATGAATAAATGCACTAGAAATTTCTTCTTTAGCAATACATACGTTATATATATATTTCTATATACATTCACGTACCTGTATATGTTTAAAAATCAAATAATACTAAGTATGATAATAAAGATGAAGAACAAGAAAAAAAAATCACAATAACACACTGATTTGCATTTAGATGAATTGGCTAACGTAATCAAATCAAATAGTATTCCCATTCTATTCGCTTTTCTTTTAGAACATTTCACACAATTCTATCAGCATCGATCAGATCAATTTATGTTATTGTAGCGAAAAACAAAGAAAACCTTCGCCTGAAAAATAACATCAATATAAAAATATGTTTTGTCATTGAACTAGGACAATCGTTGGATGTTTTATTTTTGGCACAACATCATTCAACATATGGATGATAATATGTTTCATTTGTGTTAAGAAAAAAAGAAACGACATAAGAAAGAAACAAAAAACAAAAAAGGATATTTCTGTGAGCATTTTTTCTTTTGCGAAGGTGTATAAATCACCTCGGAAAAAAAAACATAATCATACCCGCTTGCTTTCCTGCTCCATTGGTAAAAATATCAAAGCTATCAAATAGGCAACTACTGTCGTCTGTTGATTTATAGAGCTGCTAGTGTACACTCTTAAGGTACCGTACAGTAGGAGAAAAAAAAAGAGAGGAGAAAAAAATTCTCTCTTTTAGATAGGCCAAAAATCTTGGGTAATTATTTTTCCTCTCGATAGTGTTTACTCAACAAATCTTTCGTCCCTAACCTTTTTTTTTTATACACACACGCACATATATATCTATCATCGATGAATGAATAAAACGCCTATGTCAAAACTTGCATTTCACATTTGTTGATATTTTCAAAGTATATTTAGAACAATTTTATTATATTATTTTTAGCAATTGACTTATATTCATATCATAATCTTTTATACTACAATTTTTGAATTATTTATAGTTAATAGCTTGTTTGATGGATATCTTTTTGTTTTCTATTGTTTTGCTTGCCTTTTTATAAGGATATCTAGAAGAGTATCGAAATACCATCGTATGTTAAAGTTAGTTGACAGATTTTATCTGTATCTATCAACTAGCTTCGGGGCCTATCGACACTTTATCTGGTTACTGAAATAAAATATATTTTTACAGAATAGTTCGTGAAAACACACAACCATCAATGATGAAAGTGTTAACGTTATGGTTTATATGAGCAATCATATATATTAACGAACATACGTTGTCTTAAGATAAACTCACCGATCCAATGACAGTAAACATCTTGCTGTCTTTTCTACAATTCTGTGAGCTTTTGTTTCATGATTCAATCTATTTTCATGTCGTCAGCAAGACACATATAATTTCTATTTTACACATTACACCAAGACAGAGAAAGAGAAAAAAAAGGAATGCAAGACTATCATATAGAAGCAGCAATACTCTTCTGAATGCCATTGCCTGAACATACTTTATTTCAGATGATGCTGTTTGATCTGCGTGGCTTGGTGACGGAAATACTTTATATATATATATATATATATTTCATATTGATTCGATGATAAAGATAGTTTTTTTGCATTTGTGTGAACAACAACTCTGTTTTCCAATAAATCAGTTAGAACTATGCAAGTACCCAACAGTGCTATCTATTGATCGAGTTCGTTTGCTGCTGCAGTCAACAAGTATGTTTGCCAACCATTTTAATGGAAGATGCAAACTCTTTTAGTGAATAACATGCTTTTACTTTTTTACTTTGAGTCATCTATGCTATATATATAGTTGATCTATTCATTTGATCAGGAGATCAATATTTGATAAGTAGTAGACAGTAAATCATGCATCACAATGAAACAAATGATCATTTAATTTATCTATTCATAAGTGAGAAGAAAAAAAAAACGAAAATACAAGTTGCTAATTATTGTGATGTCAATTTGATTAACATTTGATTTTGAATGAGAAAAATAACACCGAGAAAAAATGTTGTTCTTTTTCCTAATGCTAAATAAACAAATATTTCGTATATTTAACATAGGATAAACTATATTCTAATTAGAGAATCAATATATATATCAGGCATTCCGCCCAATGATCTATCAATTATGAACAAGTGGAAGGACATGAGTACTAGAAAAGAAACATCGATTTCGTCCGAAAACTATTATGAAACACTATCAATATATTCTCTTCTGATGTACTGATAATCAATAAAATCAAAAAGACAAAATAAGAGACCTTATGGTTTCAGTAGACAGCATTCTCCATGCTTTTTGTGTCTTTGCCAATTTTTTGTTGCTTCATCAATTAATCACTCATCAGACATCTTTCTTCAGCATATACGTGTAAATCTGTTGATTTCTAGTCTCAGATCAATGGAGAAAAGCATTCTTTTTCTTTCCAATAACAATAATAAATCTTAATGGAAGAAGACAAGCTGAGAACATATTTTGAGTGCTTCAATGTGAAATCAATGTGACAGACGAAAGAAAATAGAACGATTACGAAGATTTGAACCATACTGTGTTGTACAGGCTTTTTCTCAAGATCTTAAATATTAGATTGGATATTTTTAGTTCTTTTTTTTAATACATACCTCAAGGATTTCTCATACGAGAAGACAATATGACGAGTAATATACACGAAGTTTGCTTGGATAGCCAAGGAAAGAAAATAAACAGTCGATTAATAAAACCTATTGACACAGGTCATTTTGATTAGCTTCATCATCGTAATAAAAGTACCTTGTGCGAATACAGCATGGAGTTTGTTTTTTTGCTTTCTATCAATGATTACTGTATAAATAATGATTTTTGTCCAATTATCACGACACAGTGATGAAGAAAAAACGTGAGAATACGTAAAAAAGAAGGAAACATAAGAAAAAAAGAAAAAAAATATTGATCAATAAGTGATATGCAAAGTCAATGTTACTATGCGCACAATTACAACGACACACGTCGACAAAAAAAAGTGACTTAGCTTATTTATAGTTGAACGTTTACTGACTTACCGTTGCATGTATATATGTTCGATTAAGCCAGGCTGACATGAACCCAGAATATATTATTTTTTTCTTTCATCAGTTGTTTTTTTTTTGTAAATAAAAGAGAAATCTTTCGTATTGGTATACGTCTATTTCTAAGATATAGTTTTGTACATAATTATATGGATGTCCTTCAAGTCTTGACATCAAAATAGTCATTGTTTTTTGTTTTAAACTGGCATAATCCAAACGAATAATAAACATATAAAATATATACAATCGTATGGTACATTCGGGTGATCAGATCTTATAAAGCGAGATTTATTTTAATTCAAAAATTATTATATGAATTGTAGATTTCGTAGATAACTGCAACTACATTCATATTCAATTATCAATACTATTAATTGTATTTTTCTTTTGACCAAACGATGTATTGAACAATATATTGAAAATAAATACTTGAAAATAAAATAGAAAATATTTTGAAATTTTAATCGATAAGTTTTCACATATTAAAAAATAAAACAAGGATCAAACATACTGAATAGCATATATAAATATTTAATGATTTTTCTACATGAAAATGTTGTGATCTTTTTTCTTTGACGTCATAATATAATCAAAACGAAGAACTATGATTCTTCTATGAATGTCTATTGAAATAGCACATTTTTTTCTGATAATTTAGCCTTGTATATAAAAAAAACCCATGTATGCGTTCTTTTATTTTTGTATTTCTCTGTTCTCACAACAGAACAAAAATCGAATACTTAATTCAAAATGAAATCTTCTAACCTTTGACTTCATTAAAACGATAATGCTTATCTATTTTTTTAGTCTCGAAAAAACACGTAATTATTGTTTACATTGAGATCGAAAGGATAACATATTAATTTAACCTTGACAACATTCTTGTCATTAACTATTCTTTTTAGTTAATACATTACCTTTTTGCTTAAATAATTAAACATTCATATTTTATTTTTTTTTTATCTGGCTGTGAAATCAAATAATCACGTTCAATTGAAAATGTCGTTCTCTTACTTTTAGAAAAAATTTATACAATTCGTTAAGTTTAAACAATATTCTTAATTATTCAAATCATTGATAATTATTTAAAGAAATTAATCTCAAGGAAATCGACAACTATCAATGAAATATTTCAGAAAAGTTAAAAAGTTAACATTTTCTCTGAAGTAGTTTACTAAAGAAAGACAAAAAGCGAAATATTTCACTCATTTTTATGAAAGTGAAACATTCTTGTTTTTGTAATTATTTCAAAACAGAAAGTATGATAAGCAAAAAAAAGTTGAAGCTTATCTTCTTGTTTGCGTCATTTTCAAGTTAAAAAGTAAATAATTTTACTTGCATTTATTTTTGGATTCTTTATCTTGTTAATAATAATAATCACTCATTTTATAAAACATTTCTCTATTATTGTTTATTATAAATATTGAAAAAAAAGATACACACACAAACGTTACATAGAAATAAATACCAAATAGAAAAAGAAAACGAGTTTGTCTATGATTGATTGGTCTTCTACTATTTTGCCAGTTGTCGAAATACAAAGAAGCCGCCAACTACTCCAACTAAGAGACCAATAATAATAAAGCCAATCCAAAGTCCAGTTACTTTTGAACCTGTAGTCATCCATTTTACTTGTGTATTTCGAGCAACATTAAGTGAATTACTACGTGCACGTAAAGTAACTTGTTTTGATTCACCATATTGAGCACGAAAAGCAAGACCATTAGAATCAATTATTTTTGCAAGACGTTCGATAACTGTATCTAATGATGATTCTTTTAATGGATTTTCTACAGGTCCAGTACGTGGTGGTATATCAAGTAATGTAAATGTAACTATAATATCAGTATTATCTCGATCGACAACTAAATTTGAGATACGTATTGGTCGAACAAACATTGTAAACATTAATTGTTCAAATATGTGAAGACGTAGATAGTTTAAATTTTCAAATACTGGATAATTTTTATCATTTGCTATTTTAAATGACAAAACTGCAAGGCTGTAATTTGCTAGATGAAAGAAAACGAAAGAAAGAAAACAATCAAAATTTTAATAAAATGAATAAACATGTTTGAATTAAAATTTTACCAGCTGGACCCAAAGCACGATAACAGTTAGCTAATGTATAATCGATTTCAAATATTGTCATCGGACGACGACGATAATTGAAAATATCTTTAAAAAGAAAAAATAATATATTTGATTTGATTTGATTTTTCCAATGAACTTTACTCACTGAATTCATAAGAAAACACCAAAGTTTCAGATGAGTATCGTTTTATGACTAATCTCGTAGGAATCCAGTGTTCTAATTGTTCTTCATTAACACTCGCTGCCCAATACCATTCTCGATGTTCAAGTGAACCATTTGCGATTTGTTTTTCACCAATCCATACATGACACCAAACTCGATCACGGCATTGTTTTTCACCAGTATATTGGTATGCAATATCATCCATTAAAAGTAAATGTTGAGGACTACCCATTTGTAGTAGATTTGGATTACCATCGCTAGGTATAGCATCATTACCACCTGTATTGATATCACGAACTGTACATTGATAATTGCTATGATTATATTGATAACTAAGACCAACAGCAAAATCATGAATTTCAGTAAAATGAAACCATCTTGGTCCACCATTAGGATCAGCATACCAAGCATCAAAACGAGTAAATTGAAATTCTGTATCATATAAATTATGTGAGCTAACTATGGAACTGTTAAAATTTGGTACAAACAATTCACTATTTGCGCTAATTCTGTCAGGAATATTCGATGGTACAGCAAGTGTTGATATTCGATTTGCGCAAAATACACCTTGTGGTGTTTCTAATGCTTGACGCTCTTCATGTCTTCGTGGATTAGGTGTATAACGGAAAACATTATATGCATATGTATCTCGCCCTTTGGTTGGATGTGATATATTTACATCTAGTCTTAAAATAATACTTGTACCTGGTGGTAAATAAGCTTGAAATTTGTTGACATCAGATACGTAATAGGCAGCTGATACTGTTGCTTGGATATCACTTAGATAAAAACATGATCTAAATCGATTTGTAGGTATACCACGTAAATCTTCATCACCATCATAACGAATACCCCATTGAGTATTTCGTTGATTACGTGGATCATAACCGAGAAGAACTGATGGTTTAACAGTCAAAGTTTTTGGTAGAATAATACTTGTTTCTGTTTGAGAAGTAATTTCTTGTTTCGCACATATCGGTAGTACAGTTTGAGAGACAACAGCAGTTAACACATTGAATGTTTCATTAGTTGAAAAGTCCCAATAAGATTGTACTGGACCTAGCAAAAGAAAAAAACTAAATAAAATTACAAAAATATTATAACAAATAATAGACTACCTTTTATAGTACTCATTATGATAGCATCACGTGTTGGTGAAAAAGCTTGTGATAATTCCATCACATCATTTCCTGAAACTAATTCAGTTGTTACTTCAAAACGTGGTGGTATAGTGTGCCAGTTTGGGCTGATCGTCTTGTCCGGTCCATCCGGACACAGACTTTGATCAAATTGTCCATGGCATTTAGTAATAAAAACAATGGTTATACTTAATAGATATGCTGGTAGTAGAAACATGCTTTCGATAGATTCTTCTTATTTCTTTAGTCAAAATAAGCACATCAATAAATGTTTTAACAACAGTAAAAACTTCAGTGAGATGGGTGATATGATAAGAAAAAGCGATGTTTGTTTGCTCGTATTATCTAATAATAAAGCGACGCTTTTTTTATAACTAACACCCCTTTTTTTTCACATAGATGGTCGTTTTTTTTTACTTCGAAAAGATGTCCAATGTAGCTTGTTATCTATTTAGCAATCTATACCGTATCACATCTCTTGTTGCTTATTGTTTGTCTTAAGTTTTTGCACACCTATTCAAATATACTCCAAGAAAAAAAACAAGAAGAAAAAATGAATATATCCTATATTTAAACAAGATAAACATATTTAGATTGACCTTGAAATCTAAAAAACATCAATACCATTTATGTAATAGTACTAAATATAACCATATTTTCCATTTTTATATCTGTGTCATAGAAATTATACTGCAATATCAAAAAGAAAAAGTATAATGATATTAACACAAGTACACCTGTTTTAGTAATACAATCAACAATGGTTTTGTGTGCATTTCATTATATCCTTGGCCTAATATCAGACGACCCCGAAATAACTACGTCTTCATTTGAGCAGCAAGATTTGTTCTATCTAGTACAGCAGATGGATCGTACAAATAAGAAAAAATAACGGATATATTCTATGTTCTGTTTTTTTTCCCTCCTCTTTTTCCTTGCTTAAGCGAAGAGAAAACGTTGTTTTTTTTTCCGATGGATATAAAGGCAAACGAGAATAAATGCTTATTTCTATAATAGTATGTGTATAAGAATTCTGTTAGAAGAGAAAAAAAAAGGAATCTCTTTGTCAGTCGTTTAGTTGCTTGGAAATAAAAAGAAGAAAAATGTATGCTCCTCGTGCTAAATTTGAGCGTATCTATATTGTTTCACCAATAAAAGTAGCAATTATATTTTTAACAATGCTTCATTGTCTTTTTATTTTAATTGCTGTATTAACGTCATTTTGGATTAAAACAAAATATGATCATTATGGACCATTATATAGTTGTGTAAAACGTCTTGATTGGAAAAAATCTCCAACACATCCTGTGACAATAGAATGTGGCCTTAATCAATATCTTCATGATAATAATCTATTATGGATGCCTATAACGGCTGTATTAATAATTCTTTCATTTGTAATTGCTTTTATTTCAATTATTATAGCAAGTTTATCATTTGTTAAAACTGCATTTACAATTCGTCGTCGTTATTGGTTATGTACAATTATATTATTACTATTCGTTTTTTTACTTGATTGTTTCGTAATTATATTTATTCCATTGAGTAATCGTCATCAAGTTTATTATCTTCAATGGGCATATGGTGTACATTGTGGTGCAACATTATTTATTTCAGTATCGTTAATAACAGCAATTCTTACACACAATACAGATGATATTCAATATGTTGAAGCAATAGATGAGTCGTCAATTGATAAATAAATATAATGAAAAAAAAAAAAGAAAATAAGAAATATAAAACGTGCACAACTTTCAGGTTTTTTGTCTTCTTGTTTCATTGTAGTAGAATTATATTTTCCTTTTTTTTGTTTGAAATTCTCTTAATGCTTGTTGACAAACTTCAGTCACTATACGTGTACGATCAAGATCATGAACATTATGAAGTTTTAATGTATGACGTACAGCGTTAAGATTTCTAAATAATGCAAAAACAAATTATTATCAATGAAATTTATGTTTGTCATTTTTTTTTTCCTCCTTTAATGAACAAACCTTAATAAAAGAAACATTGTTTTTGGCATTTGTTTCAAAATACGAAATAATGCAGTGCGTTTTTTATCCATTAATTTTCGAAAATGTATTTGTAATTTTGTACGTTGTTCATCTGTTAATTCATTGTTATATTCATCTTCAGTTGGCATTAGAAATTTTCCACTTTTTAAAGCATACATCTGTAATTCACGTGGTAATGGATCCCAACCACGTGCATATGATGGAATAATATATTGCTCTGTATCAGGTAATGGTTTCATTGTAACTAATGTACAAAATAATTCATAATCTTTGTCTGGTGCACCTAATGCTGTAGCAGATTGTTTCATTCGTACATGATCATTATTTATTGTTGCCATCCATAAATCACACAAAATTTTACGTTCTTCACTTATTAAACTTTCATAAAGACCATGATCAAGAAGAATAATTTGTGCTTGTGGAAAATCTTTTGATTTAATTTTCTTATTTATTCTAATATGTACATTACCAGCATGTGGATCGGCATGTACAAAACCAGTACGAAAGATTTGTTCAGCAAATAGATGAATTAGTTTTTGATCAATCTGTTAAAAGATATATATAGTAACTATTTTTTTTTGTCTGGAGATTATCATTAAATCATTTGTTACTTCAACAATAACATTAGAAGACAGTTTATATCTATATATATAAATTGATACAGTAAAACCTCTTTTTGTGAGCACCTCATTATGCTAGTCAGCTTATAGGCTATCCAAGTGGATTTCTCTAGGAAAGAATCTCTCAACTATGAGTATCACTTTACTCCGAGCAATGGGTGCTAATTTCTGATCCCATTAGCAACAACAATCTCTGTAATGTGAGCAACATATGTCCTATCACTCGTGCGTAGAACGAGAAAAAAATGATATTATGTAAATTGCATTATGATAAACAATCCTGGAATGTATATAAAAAGAGGATGGATTTAACCATGCATACTAAAAAGAGAAAGAAACTATATTAGACAACAGTAAGAGTGCTTGCTGTAACATAACATCGTTCTCATGTTAACAGCTAGTAACATTAAATCATGTCAACACTTACTGATTTACCTCTAGTTGAAACAGTTGAACAAGTAGTTTATTGAAACGAATAAAAAGACTATCTTGTGCAGTCGAAAAGTGATTGCAACTGAATACTTATAACTTTCAAAAAAAATAGACATTGAAAACCTTTCAATAATGAGCATAACCCTAAAATTTGTTTCTTTCCGCTGAAATTTTTTCTCTGACAACTATGGACAAATCTGGATGCGTATTTTGTTGTTTTTTTTTTGAAAAATATTGTTTCAGAGACTCAAGAGAAGCAAAACACTGGACACACTATCAAAAAACCATTCCAAAAAATACGTTTTTCTCGGATAGTACTAATTTTGTAAAATTTGCTAAACTTCGTCGGTACAATATTTTTGAGAATAAAACAAAACACACCTGAATTTGATCGAAGTACTGATGAAGAGAATTTGAGCCTGATTGGTCATAATGTGTAAGAGACGAACGGAAGAAATTTCAATTCCTTAATGAGAAAATCTGTTTTTTAAAAACTTGCAAAATTACACTTTGTGCCTTTTTCAGCAGAGAATTGAGTTTTTTTTACAGGTGAAAAGGTGTTTTCGCTTTCTTACGAAGTGCTCATTAGATAGAGAACATTCAAATCTACCTACTAAACAAAAATACTGAAAATTTTGGGTCGGGACAGAGAGGAACCGCCTTAAGTTGATCCCGATAATGTCCACATAAAAACTTTTTTCACTGTATCTATGTCTAAAAGCATGAATCCATTTCTCAATAATTTCAGATATTAGTGAGTGTTTTGAAAGTACATGATTTATATTAAAAACCATGATTCAAGAATATTAAATCTTTGTTCTACATCTTGTAAGATATGATAATTTCTAATTTATTATTATCAAATGTAATATCTAATAAACATCAACAACTCTAACTAAAATCTAATTGTTTACAGAGAAAATAACTATATCATGCATTGCTTTTTATTTCTACAAGAACTACATTGAAAGCTTTGTGTCATCGAATAAACAGTTATTTATGAAAGTAAACCAAAACTATTCGTCATTTTTATTTTTTGATGTCAATACAGTTATTATGTAGTTAATTAGACGCTATTCAAACTAAATTGGTTTCGTAAAATTTTATATTATACATTTTCGTTACAAATTCTTATTAGCTTCATGCTTGTTAACGAAATGTGTAAGTCAATCTGAGACAATAACAAGAAAAATGATAACTTTATCGTATTTTATAATTTCATTCTATTAAAAAGTTACTTTCTTATGATGAAAATCGATATCCAATCATTGAAGCTGCTAGTGAAAGTTCTTGAGGTTAAAAATATAAGTTGTTGTCTAGCTATTTCTATCCTAGATAAAAAAAAAACCTTGTATTAGAATGAGATGAAAATACGTGGCAAGATAAGTCAATAACAGATAGTTTGACATGTATGTGTTTATCCTATCAACGAACAAAACAAAAGACGTTATCTGTCATAAATCATTGAAAGATAAGTTGACTTATGTTCTGTAGATTATAAAAGAATCGAACTTACATCTTTTAATGATAGGTTTACTTTTTCTAATTCCTCTGTACGATCAACTGTTATACCTTCGACAAATTCGTAAGTTAAAATACGCTATAAAATAAAAGATTAACTCATTCGAATAAATTCATTTCAACACTTATTACTTTCTTTGTTAAATTCCAATGAACTTTTGGTATATAAACATAATCTAAATGTTTAAGAGATTCACGAGAACGTTCAGCATTTCTTGCTTCATGAAGGAAATCTAAATATTAAACATAAATAAAACTTTTTTTTTTTTTTTTATTAAACAAACAATCATTTACCTAATTCTAATGTTAGATCATCATGTAATTCCTAATTCATTAGAAGCATTGTTTCGTTTTTTTTTCATATTTATTTTTTCTATCAACTTACATCTAACATCCAAGCCTTAAAAAAAAAAGAAAATGAATTATAAACTAAACTTTGCATTGATTTTTATCAATTCTTACCATAGTCCATGTTGGATTAATCCATTCAAAGAGACGAAATAAAATTCGCGTCCAAAAAAAAGAAAAAAATAAATTGTTGAAAAATAAAGAATACTTTTTATTATTTTTCTTTTCTTTTCGTTTACCGTGGCAATATCAGTTTCATAACGTTCACGTAAATCAGAATA